TAACTGCTGTGGTCCTTTCTACTTAACAAATCCAGTATCATAAACTGTCAGAAACTGTTTAAATTTGTTAAAAACTAATTATGATGGTTACTATATAAGTCTCAGGAATATATTTAGAATATTTATTAAAATACCGGTATACACTAATGAATAAACATATGCTATTAAATAATAATATAACAGAATATATTATGAATAATTATGTCAATGTAAAAAATGTAGTTTTGAGCATAATTTCAGCTTATCATTTGAACAAAATTTCAGCTTATCTTCACATTCTTTTTAATATCTTATAAGAAAATTCTACTCTTCTGAAGAATTTTTGAAATCTTTACGTTGAGTGGTTATTATTTTAATCTTCATATTACTGAAATCAGAATGTTTTATTTCATTTTTATAATTTGCAGCATTTTTTTTTTCAAAACAGAATTGACAAAATCAGAAAAAAAAGCTGATAACAGCATAAATTTCTTATATTTTGTAATTAGTAATTTAACTCTTAAACTTAAAAGCTTTAAATCAACCTATTTAATTCTATGCAAAGGAATGATGGCATAAATAATTGTTAGAATGTTTAAGGTACTTTTCAATCGTTAAAATGTGTTACTAAAAGTAACTTAACAATTACAGAGCTTCCAGCAAGCAGATCTTTTGTGAGCATATAGTGTTCATATATAAAGTACATTTACGTATCAAAAGGATATTTTTTTTTGAGAAATTTACTTTTCAATGTAAGTTTAATCTGTACAAGAAAAGTAGCAACTGAATATTTAAATACTTAAAATTACTTTCAATAAGCTAATTTGAGGTGAAAATAGCAAACTTTTTACTAATAAAGATATACAGTTAATTAAGTTTAAAACAGTTTTTTGATGTGACGGTTTTATCAATGGTAAAATCGTCAAAAACTTGCCAAGAAATGAAATATAAGTAAACCTACTCAATATTTAAAGTAGTTTTACAGTTAAAAGTTAGCAAAGTTAAAATAAATAATGATAATTACTCAGAACGCACTTCACCCCCTTCTTTATCTGTAAGTCGCAAAGTATTGTCTAAACAGCTAGCAAGAACACAGACATATTTTGTGAAGTTAACACAGTTCACTGAACCTAAAAAATATGACAACAAAACTTTAAGATTATGTTAAAATTATTTAATGGAAATAATCACCTTAACAAAGATCATAATATTTAATGGCCTGAGTAAAACATATGTAGTTATTAAAATTTCTTTTTACATACATAAATATATATATTTATTAGGTACAATTAAAAATAATAAAACAATTTTCACAGTCTCAAAATCAATAAAAATGTTAATATAAGTGTTAATACAAAAGAGAAATATATGTGAAGAAAACAAAAAATACATACTTAATGACTATTTGCTTTATATTTAATTAGAAAATTATACAACATTTAAATTAATAGACTTTTTATGCCTTTCTGGAATAAAATGAAAATAATTAGTTAATTCTAACTCATGTGTATTCACACTTTGTAAAAATATTCATAAGGGGAAAAAAAGAAGTTCTGAAGCTATTTATCATGAACTAGCTGAATACTAATTTTTTTGCAGAGTGAAATAAAGTAAGTCATCCCTTTATCAGTATTGAAACAGTCTATTGATTGAGTAAATTCAATTGATTAGTCATTATTTCAATTATTTTCTAAATAATGTTCTTATGCAGCTTTTTCAATGAAGTATACATAAATATATATATATATGTATACTTCATTGAAATACATTTCTATACCTTTGCAGCATTTTCAAGAAAAACATATTTTATATGATCTATAATTTTTATTAAACCAGGCATAGAGGCATACATATGTTATTAGTAGGTCTTAGGAATCATGGTCTCTGGTCAACAGTGGCGATCAATAAATTTTGAGAGATTATATTTTCAGCATATCAATTATGATAAATCAATTTTACTAAAAATCTACGTAAAATTTTTTTTGTTGCCATTCTTATCCGTGTTTTTCACAATCACTTGAGAAATCCTATTTATCCTTCTCTTTACACTGACGTGTATTCCTCGAACTTGTAAATCTGAATTTTGTTATAATATCCTGTTAAAAAAATACAGGGTATTTGCTACATTTTAGATTTTCAAATTCATGACTTTTCATAACTTTCCATGACTAATTCCAATAATTTTTCATGACTTTCTGAGGTTACTATTTTCTCCAACAAAAACACAAATATAAATTTAAAGAAGCATTATAATAACATTAATTGAAATGATAGGTATAATCAAAACTGTTATACTCTGCATCTTCACATTTAAAGATTTTAAATTTAAAAAGCAGAGTAAAAAAATATTTGAAGCAATAAAATAGCAGAAAAAAATACCGAAGTAAATAATTTTTTTTCTTTTTTTCTGCAGAATTATATTTGAAAGATACTTTTTTTGATCAAAGAAACTCCCAGTTTTTCTGTTCTCATTTCAAATAAAAAAATTCGGTATTGACTGGCTTGCTTCAGCTAGAATTTGAAATTGATTAAAATATAAATAAACAATAACAAAAATTCTGAAATCTCAGAAGTTTAAAGGATAATTCGCTCTAGAAGTGCTATTTTTTCTCTCCATTTTTTGAAAAAAACACCATAATTTTTAAAGAACATGATAAAAACATTTTATATTTTAATGAAATATGACTGTGAGTGAGGATTTTGTAACAAATTCAGATGTTCAAAACACAATGATATTTGGGGGGTGGGGGGGTGTTGAATTCCATTTTAAAAATTAAATTTTTCGGTGACCTAAATCCATGACTTTCCATGATTTTTTCTTAAAAAATAGTAAAAATGATGACATTTCATGACAAATTTCGTTTAATACCAAAATTTATGACTTTCCATGATTTCTCATGACTTTCCAGGTGCGCAGATACCCTGAAAATAGGAATTTGAGAAGTCCTGTTGAAATCCATAAAAATAACTGCACAATTGCGATCAAAAAAAAACATTTGTGTTTATAATTTCCACATTTTTATTTATGTATTTATTCTCTCAATTTTTATTTATTTATTTTATTTTTCTGACACACTGTCGTAATATTTGTCATAATGATTACCAGACATGAGCTTTACAGTGGATAAGGTAAGCCAGGTGCATGGGCGAGCCTAATCCTGAGGACCCCTTCACACGTTTTAAAAAACTAAAAAAAAAATTGTTTCAAATAATGTATTTTTTGTAAGAAAATCATAAACTAATCTTTTCTTTTACTCCTTAATCATCAATGTTTCCTGTTATGTTGTCTTCCTGGCTTGAGTTTTGTTGAACTAAATTTGCTTTGAAGAAGAACAGATACAGCTTGAAGAAAATATACAATATAACTGCTGTGGTCCTTTCTACTATTTTTAAAAAAATTTATAATAATAAAATAAGGTAAAATCCATATTTTTGTCTCAGGAAAGCATTGTACCTGCAACAGCATTTATTATTTAATATGCGTTTCAAGATTTACATATTTTCTTTTTTAAAGTTTCATTTTAATTAAAAAAAATTCTCAAAATTTATTTAATACACACTTGCTAACCAAAAAAAAAAAAAAATGCTTTTAGAATAGATAATGAAGATAGAGTTCATGTAAAAGTTTTCTTCAACTTTTAAAACTCGCATTATTCGAAAATGATTCAATATTATAATAAATGTTTCACGCTGAACTTGACTTTTTCAACTTTTTTTACTATTATTACCTTCGACTCAATACCTCTTCCCTTGGCTATGAGAGCTGTAGATCTAACAAGCTTCATTCGCTTTCACTAAGTTAATCAAGCTTTAAGTTTCTTGGGGCAACATAACTACTTCTGGGTGCTACTAATTGCCCATAAGACAAAGTTTCAGGAGTGTCATTATATTGTTAAGTAATTATTATTGTTTTATCGTATATATTTATGTAATCCTTTTATTAATTTTCATTTTTTTATGCTTGTGTTGTAGTTTCTTCATTAATTTTTTGTTTTTTGACCCTCTCACATTTGAGTAAGCAGGGGTCTGCTTAGGTTTTTTTTTGAGAGGTACCTATTTTGTGAACTTTTAGACATAATTTGTGAAAATTAAAACTTATATTAAAAAATCAACACAAAAATATTGTACAAAAATTGTCACTTCAAATAAAAATCATTTATGACAAGTAAATTTCGGTATATTTTTCCCCATATAAAAAAGATAATTTTGCCATTGTAAAATTGTGGGCTTAAAATTACATCCAATTTTAAAATTTCATAAAAATCATTGTCTATCATTAAATTTCAACTTGAATTTAATAAAAACATGCATTTAACAGTACTAGCACTAAAAGTTATTTTCATTGAGATTATTTTCAACTAGGTCATATAGAAAAAAGTTTCACAGAGAAAAAAAAAATTCATAAAAAATAAAGGTTTGTTAGAATAAATTTGCAGTAGTGTATTGATTTATAAGTTCTAATTTTAACCAAAATACTATATAAAGATGTTTTGACTCTTATTTTTGTTAAACCTGTTCAGTGCTAAAGTTATAGAGCTTACAAATTTTAATTTGTTTTTAACATTTTATTATAAACTAAACAAAATTATACAGCTTTTAAATCATCAATAAATTTTATCACAAACTACTCTTTTTTATATACAAAATGTACTTTCAGCTGACATAATTTTTACAACTTCATTATTTTATTTTTGTATTATAATATTTTACAAAATTGGCAAAAATTATAAATTGAATTTTAAATGTAAAATGGAAATCAATAGTATAAATTAAGCATTATATGTTTGGTAAATTACTTTTGGCCATTTAAGTAATTGTTTCTTTATTCAAATATCCCGAAGTTAATTTTTATTTCTATTTTTTGTTTCAAATATATTTATTTAAAAATTCGAATTCTATTTAAAAAAATTTAATTATAGCACAATTATTTACTGTAAGATTATTTTCATCTATTGAAAATTAAATAAAATCAAATGATTATTAAATTAGAATTTGATATTTTTAATTAAATATCATTTTATAATAAATTTAAAAAAACATTTAAATTATTTCAGCAACCTCTTATAACTCCAAAAGTAAATAAATACAAAACATCTGCTTATTTCCTATGAAACGATTCGTTTATTTATTTTTGTTTTCTATATTTTATAAAGATAAATTAGTTTCTTTTTGAGTTCATTTTTTTTGGATGATTTTCAAGGATGCTTTGAAACTTCACAGGCGTTGTGAGGTATTTTATTTTTTCTGCTTTTAATATGTATGTACATGTCTTAATCAAAAACAATTAATTTTTAAGTGTTTTGTGTATAGCCACACATTTTGTATCTTGATTTATGAAAAATATTTTACCTTTAAAAAGGAAGGCAATTTTTGAAGTATCTTTCCTTAAGAAAAAATAAGGCTTATATGCAATTATAAAAAAAGTGTTTCAATCAGATTTAGTCCCCATTAAAATGCTGTCATTATACATCCTCAGAATTTTTGTGTTTTCTTTTGAATTTCACTTTAAATTTTGTGAGAGGAAAATTTATATCCAATTAAAGTTTTTTGTTTCTTAGTGTGGTGATTATTCCTAATTTTACTACTTTTTACTATCCATTAAAATGCATTTCATAATTTGCTTGATGGCCTAATCTATAAAAATTTAATGTTAGTAGATTCAAGTCTGGACTCATGAAATGTGATTGCATGGCAGTAAATAAAATTAAACTGACATATATATTTTCAATTTTAAAAGTACAATTTTGAATGATTTTATACTTTTTACAACATATTTTAATATTTAATTAGAAATTAATTTAAAAGCATTATAAATAAAAGTTTGAATTTAAAGTTGAAAAACTTTTAAAAAAGATCTGCAACATAATATTCATGCAAAAGAAAGATTTTGTTTTCCAAGACAGTGATTAGAAATAGATGCAGTACAGCTTACATCCACAACATCTAGTGATTTTTACTTCAGTTACACGAACGTATTAAAAAATAATATATAATCATCAATACAGGTATCAAAATTGGATGATTTTATAATAATTTATTTGAATTGCCTGACATACATGACTAGAAAAAGTCGGACATACAATTACTATGTTCTAAAATAAACAGTTTTTTATTCATTGAACCCACACAATTTTAACATAAAAGAGTGTGAAATATTCAAGGCATTATATTTTTTCAATTTAAAATAATTTATTTTAAATTGAAATTATTAAAATAATTTAGATGTATTTTTTAATTTAATATTAAAAAATCACAGAATGATAAAGACAAATGAAGAAAAACAGACTCCATAAATATAAACTAAAATACTAAAGGTATGTTTTAGTACAAACAGTTTGAAGAATAAAGAATAAAATAACTTTTTTATTACTTAATTTAATACAATGGAGCTTTAAATTTAACAATATTCTTATTGGCATATTGCAGCATTATATAAATAAGAAAAAATATACTTTAGATAATATTAAAAATGTAATTTGGAAATTACAATAAGAATACTGGATAAGTACAATACTGATTTATTTACATTGGTGACGGAAACCATTGATACTTTCTTCTGTTGCAAAGTAGTGTGTTTAACAAGTAGATAAAAATAAACTTTGGGAAGTTTAAACTCTTTCAATAATTATATTATTTAACTAATTTTAAAAACTACAAGAACATGGAATGACTATTTTATATAAAAATTTTTTTTAGAGACATTGACTTGATCTTAAATTTGTTCGCTTTATTTTACATCAGGTATAGCAAATTTCTCCCAGTGATGGAAAGAAAAACCCTCAAAGAAACAGATTTCTTCCATCCTAAGTGAAAAAAACTTTTTTCCAAACAGAAATATTTAAAGAGTTTTTTTTTTTTCTGAACGGTTTATAACTGCAATTTTGTTTGAATAATAATGTTAATTTTTGTGGTTTTAATAACCTATCATTTTATACATAAGTAAAAACGAAAAGCACAAAGAAAATCTAAAAGTTTTTCATGAATTTCTAATGAAATTAAGGGTAGCTAGTTTATCATTGCTATTTTATTTTAAAGAATATATTAAATTGTAATTTTATATTTAAAGAACAATCAAAATAACAAAACTGAATTTTATTAATACTACTAAATCAATAAATCACATACTGAACATAGATACAATTAAAAGCCAATATTGAATTCCCAATTACAAATAGATTATATCCATAATTAAATGTTAATTATGAATACTCAAACCTAATGATAAACTTTCTGTTACTATACATTTAATTTCGTTTAGTTATAATACCCATTGTATTAGTCATTTTTATTTCATTCCGTTTTGTCCAGTTTCTTCCTGTCCAGTAAGAAATAAGTTTCTTCTGAACAAAATGCTGCCATTTAACATAGGTGATTTTGTGGCAAATCATTTCTACGTAAACATTAAAAAATTGTTAATTTATGTTTATCTGAAATTGTACAAATTCCCAAAAGCAATAAAGCTAAAAATTATAAAGCATGTAAGAAAATTTTTTTCTCTCATTTTGTTACAACCAAACTGGAAGTATTTATACGAATATTAGAAAATTTAATTATATAATTTTTTTTAAATCTTTATTTTCAAGAAAACAATTTCAGTTTTAAAGAATACTTTTTTTGAAAAATTATAATTCAATAATTAATTGAAATTAAAAAAAAAATTAACTTAATAGTTTTATTTTATTCGAATGGTATTAATAAAAAATTTGTAATACATCCTCTTCTATGAGCAGGGATAAAATATTATGTTAGCTTTGTTTCTTTACATTAATATTTGTTAGCTTTGTTTCTTATTGTTCACGACATTCATTTTTTTCCTTTTTTAAGATTTAGATTTATTTTCTTTTTAATATAAAGCTATTACCAGTACACCTTTTGCCGTACAGCTTACTACTGCTGAATTACTGTTTATTTAATGATTTTTATATTAATTGATTCACTCTAATAGCATACCCTTCATCCTATAAGAACTATATATATATATATAATTGTACTTAAAATACCACAATCAACAGACCTGAGATAAACATTAAATTCAACTTAAACAATCTATACTCAGTTTGTCTTCTGTATTGCTCAGAAGTTATGTACATACACTAAGTTTTTGTAGAAAAGGTCATATAATTAAAATTAAATAAGTAAATAATTGATTTAAAGAAAGGAAAAACTTTAGTTAATACCCCTCCCCTAAAAAGTTTTATTTAGGCAAAGTGGAAAACAGATTCTGAAAACTTTTAAAAAGAAAATCCAGTTTTTTTTTTTTTCAAGGGGTTAAAAGCCTTGATACATACAAGAAAATAATAATTTTTGATCTTAACTTTCTTTTAAAAAATACTATTTTCATATTATTAATTTTATTATGTATATTACTAAAATCTATCACCTATTGTAAGATTTTATTTTTTAATGTGATTTATGTTATACCTATTTTTCTCCCAAATAAATATGTACTACAAAGAAAATTTTATAGATATTTTTATGGTTTTTTAAAAAACTACAGTTTTAATTTCTTAAGAAAATCTATAAATTTATTTTCCCTTCCAATTGAGACTTTTTATGTTTCCTTTATTTTGAAATAATGTAATAAATAACTTGTAAAATAACTATTAACTTCTATTACAATAAACTGAATTGCAATAACATGTTTATAATAAAATGAACTGCTTTAATATTCGATGATAATGCTTTTTTAAGAGTATTTTATATTTCTTTCGCATAGCTGGAAGAGATATAATTCCTCCAAGGCTTCTATTTTTAGTTTCTAAGTGGCATTTTTAAGAATTTATATACAATTAACTTTACAAAGTATGGTACAATAGGAAGCTGTTTACAAAACTTATTTTCTCATAAAANATTGATTCACACTAATAGCATTCCCTTCATCCTATAAGAACTACATATATATAATTTTACTTAAAATACCACAATCAACAGACCTGAGATTAACATTAAATTCAACTTCAACAATCTATATTCAGTTTGTTTTCTGTATTGCTCAACAGTTATATACATACACTAAGTTTTTGTAGAAAAGGTCATATAATTAAAATTAAATAAGTAAATAATTGATTTAAAGAAAGGAAAGACTTTAGTTAATACCCCTCCCCTAAAAAAGTTTTATTTAGGCAAAGTGGAAAACAGATCCTGAAAACTTTTAAAAACAAATCCAGTTTTTTTTTCTTTTTTCATGGGGTTAAAAACCTTGATACATACAAGAAAATAAATGTTTTTGATCTTAACTTTCTTTTAAAAAATACTATTTTTATATTACTAATTTTATTATGCATATTACTAAAATCTATCACCTATTGTAAGATTTTATTTTTTAATGTGATTTATGTTATCCCTATTTTTCTCCCAAATAAATATGCACTACAAAGAAAATTTTATAGATATCTTTATGGTTTTTTAAAAAACTACAGTTTTTATTTCTTAAGAAAATCTATGAATTTATTTTCCCTTCCAATTGAGGCATTTTATGTTTCATTTATTTTGAAATAATGTAATAAATAACTTGTAAAATAACTATTAACTTCTATTACAATAAACTGGATTGCAATAACATGTTTTTAATAAAATGAACTGCTTTAATATTCGATGATAATGCTTTTTTAAGAGTATTTTATATTTTTTTTGCATAGCTGGAAGAGATATAATTCTTCCAAGGCTTCCATTTTTAGTTTCTAAGTGGCATTTTTTAGAATTTATATACAATTAACTTTACAAAGTATGGTACAATAGGAAGTTGTTTACAAAACTTATTTTCTCATAAAATTACTTATCTAAAAAGGTGGCAGAAATTTTTTTATTCAATATACATATAGAGTTGCCACAGGCAACTATTTTTGACTTGAGGAGACTTTTTTTTGCCTGGAAAAGCAACTATTGTCAGAAAAAGAAGACTATTTGGAGACTTTTCTGTGCTCCTAGTGATGTTTTTTTAAAAACATAAATTGGGTTGACAACCTACGGCCCATGGTAACTTCTTCATTCTACTAAGATCCTTACTTATGATGCATTAGTAAACTGTGATTACATCATTATATTTTTCTGGAAAGTTTTTTCTTAAATTACTGATTATAACATTCTTTTGAAATTACTTTAGTTTTTTAATTGTGCATTATGTTTTTCTAGATGCTGATCTTATATTTTAATACAGAAAACCCTTCATATTTACATTTGAAAATACAGAACTATTTGTTAAATAAATGTATTTTATTTTCAGTTATGTTTAATATTTTGCAATGAAGCAATTTATTTAAAGAAAATTTTATTTTTTTGAAATTTACATAATAAAAAGTGATGTGTTAATTTAGTTATTTCTTTTAATGTGATTTTGATACATAATAGTAGGAGTTATTAAAATTTCTCTTAAAAAAAGGGTTGCATCTAAACCTAACATCTGTTGTCAGTCAAAAAAAATAATAATTATTGCTATAATTTATTTTTAATAATTTATTATAAATATTTCATATATTTTTAACAATTAATTATAAAAGTTTCATAGGATTGTTAAAACAAAAACTATCTTGAATAAATTACTGATAATTACATAAACATAACTGATTTTAAGACTATTTTTTACTGATAACTGATTTTAAGTTCTATTTTTTTCTTTCGAAAATAAACCTATTCTTTCTTTCAATATATATATATATATACATTTAAATACTTTTTGAAAACATTACTTACTTGAAGCTACTAATTATAAATGAGTAGTCTTTTGTATATCAATAAAAAAAATTTCTTTAATACCTAGAGTAATTGAGGTGGATGAACCAAGTTCTTGTAATCAACTTTTTTTTATTATATTTTTTCTTTTCAAATAAATTATAACTATATCTATAAGTATCAGTAACAGGAAATGCATTGAATTATAATGTAGTTCAAAAGTACTTACCAAGATAAAAAGTTCTCTCTATCTCAACAATTTACTTCAACTGTTACTTATATGCCAGAATTTGAAAATTTTCAAAGGACCTTTCACTGACAAACTGTAAAAATTTACAATAATGAAAAAATATTTAAGAATGATAGCACACTAAATTTTCAAATAAGAATTTTTCATGCATGATATTTCTGAAATAAAATTTATAGTTATTTGATGTTCTGTAAAGACTTCTCTAAACATGTATCTTTAGAATCTACCAAAAATGAAAATAAAAAAGTAAACATATTCGGAGTCGCAAATTAATGTTTTAGTGAGGAAAAATTAAGGACTATCAAAATTTTACAAACCATGATATAGGAAGATGGATGTAATAAATAAAACAGGTTTAGTTGCAGGTTGAAATTCTAATAATCAACTTTTAACTTCTCCCAGAATCAAACCTGTGTTGTTTATTATATCAGTCTTAATGTACTGTGCTTTGTCAGTTATTAATAGCTTTTTTTCCGCCCTAAACACTGTGTTTGCTGGAATATATATATATATATATATATAATCGTGTGAGCTGATAAAGAGATGTCTTCTCTATATTTTTAACTTACTTATTTGTTATATATATACATATTACTAATTGCATTTTAATATCAAGAGAACAAAAATATTTAAAATATATTTTGAGCTCTGATACAGACAATGATGTCCTAGAATCTTTTGTGTATCTAAAAATTTAAATTTAAATTATAAGAAAAAAATTTAAGCAATTTAAAAATTTTACTCACTTAACTATACCATAAAAAGTAAATATACATTAAAATATAATGAGTAAATATTTTTACAGAAGAAAGATTTAAAAAAAAAAGTATTTCATTCTCTGACACAGACAGAGGAATCATAGAATATTTTTTTTCATGTCAAACCTAAAATTAAAAATTTTACTAAATTAAACAAAACTTATTTCAAAATTTAAATTTTTTAAAAACAAATTATGCTTTAATATAGTGAATAAAACTATGTTAAAATGTAAGAAGCAATTATTTTTACAAAAGAAAAAAATATGTAAATTAAAATATTTGATACTCTGATACAGACAATGATGTCATAGAAACTTTTGCATCATGGGAAATCTGACATTTAAAATAGTATATAGTGAATAAAACTATATTAAAATGCAAGAAGCAGTTATTTTTACAAAAGGAAAAAGATGTAAATTACAATATTTGATGCTCTGATGCATACAATGATGTCATAGAATCTTTTGCATCATGGGAAATCTGAAATTTAAAATAGTCAAAAAACAAAATTAATTTAAAAAATTTAATAGTTTTAATCATTATATTATAACATAAAAAGTAAATATACATCATAATGTAATGAATAATTATTTTGACAAAAGATTTTTTAAAAAAAGAGCATTTCATGCTCTGATACAGTTGTAAATTAACATATTTCTGCTGTGATGTTGACAAAAAGATGTCATAAAATCTTTTGCATCACATGAAATTTAAAATTATATTCAGTATTAACAAAATTTATTTAAACAGTGGGAAATTTCTGCTCATTTCATTATAAAATTCAAAGATAGATATACAATAAAATGTATTTATTTTTACAACAGAAAGACGAATAAGGTATTTAATACTCTAATACAAAGATGTCCTTTGTATCATGCATACAAGACTTTATAACAGAAATTTCATTTTAAAAAGAAGTAACTCATTTCATTTTAATGTGTTTTAAAAGAATCATTTAAAACTTTAAGATAAAATACTTATTTTTTTCCAAGGTCAATTACATATCAATGAATCTTTTATTAATTCGTCTTAAATTGATTATATAAAACACATTTGACTTAGCGAATACCTAGTACAGAGAGTGTAGCACTCTGTACTAGGTATATAATACAAGGATACATAGCACTCAGTATTATGTATAAGGTATATTAAAAATAAGCACCTTTTAAGCATTCAAAAAAAATCATCACTCATCAAAAAAAAAAGAAGAAAAAAAGCATAATTAGGATATGTACAGAAATAAAAATTATTTCTTCCTATTGTTTAAAGATCTTCATTTATATAATCAACAAAATGCAAAGTTATTTTCAAAGACTTTACATAATCATGATAAAATAACAAGTTACTGATAAATATTACAGAAAAAATTGTGAAAATCAAGCTTCTTTTTGTAACTTAAGACGACGATTGACACAGCAGAAAAAGAAAAAAAATCTTTATTTGAAAGAAGGACACACTTTTTACAAACCCTCAATGGAAAAAGCACCTTTAAAGGCTTTTAAAAAACGTTAATCATTTTATAAAAATGCTCTGCACCCACCCTGTATTTAAAATATGGCCACCAAAGAATTCTTCATAAAAAGTATTTTTATTAGGAATAAATTTGAAAAACTTGAAGTAGCCTACCTTGAATCTTATTTTAAAATAATTCCTTATGAGTAACAAATAGCCAAAAAAGGAGAGGGTAATACTAGACTAAAGCAAAATACAATGTGGATCAAGCACAAATGAAAATGTATTTTCATATTTGAGCTTTATTTATTCACATGTTTTTTTTTCTTTAGTAATGCCCAAATAATTTATTTAAATTAGCATACAAAGAAAATATGCTTAAAAATAAAATTTCCGTTAACTTTAAATTTCAAAGTACTTCCCTAGTGGTGGCTTCACATAAGTTCTGGTCTTTCAAGTCCTACCTTCTTCAGTACTGATTCATTACATTTAGATATATTTGTTTTATTCTCATTTAAATTTTAATTTACAACCACTAAATGTTTAAACTTTTTTGAAAAAGGTTTAAAAAATATACACTAAAGGTGATCATCAAATACTCTGTACATACATTTACAGATATATAAACACAGAAAATATTTCTTTTGAGCCAAGTTTAAAATTAAACAGTTACAAAGTAACAAATTGTTTGTGATTCTTTGTTGCTCCTAATAAAATAAATTTAATTGATTTAACAAAATAAAAAATAATAATAAAGAAAAGGAAACTGAAAGCAAGATAAATAGCATTTAAATTCATTATTTTATTAATTTGTCTATTAAAAACCAACAGTAAAAATAGGATAAATCACCTGAATAGGCTCGCAAGACTTGCTACGGCAATCCCAAGCACAAACAGTATTATCAACTGAAACAGTAAAACTAGATTCTTCATTGAATTTTATAGCATCATCATAACCTAAATTGATGAATTATAGTAAGTGATGAAAAGTATAAATATCAGTCAACATTTAGATCAAATTCACATGCATACTAGTTTCAAAATAATATCAGCCTAACTAATAAACTGTAAGGTTTGTTTTCCCAGGCATTATAATCTTTCCCTCTCTAATGAATCTTTCTCTCTCTTTAAGGAATGTTTCCTGAATTACTAAACTATAACAACTACAAGAGTTTTTCTGCCTAAGATTTTATCTTAAAAATGACCAATTGAAAATATAATTTTTTTTAGTTGCTTTCTAAGGATTTGATTAACTTTACTTTAATAATTTAAAATAAAATATAAGCTACATTTAAGATTATTTAAAAAACACATTTTGTTAAAAATTTATAAAATAAAAACATTACCTAATTGTACTTATTTCATTTATAAAAAATGGGGGAACATAATTTAAAATTGTAAGTAGAAATAAGACAATTGACAGTAAAACATAACTTCCAGACCCTTATTCTTTAACATACAAACTGACATTTATGTATAATAAAATGAAGATTTTGTGTGTGTACATCTAACTTTAGAATTGTTTGTACTAGCGTCCTGAAATTCGAACAGCGGCTGCAAAGGACAATTTTTGCCTCCTTTCCTAAGAATCGCTAGGTATTTTTAATAAAAAGTTAGTGGCTTATTTCATGTTTTTTGAAAAGCACTGACTTTTCACCTGCTTCCTTTTAAACATTTTATAATAAATTCTCACAACACATTTCAGGATAAACTTTGTATAAAATAAACATAATATAATAAAAATTTACTGGGACTACAACAACTTGATTCTTATAAGTTACACAAAATATTTTATTTTTTTACTTTTTCGCAAAAAAAAAAAACATAACAAATTTATTTTTTGTTTTTAAATAATTTTATCCTGAGTTATAGTTGAGATAAAAAATGAAGCATGCAAACAATGTTTAAATTTCTGGATGTCCCATTGCTAAAGAAATATATAAATAAATAAAAAGTTTTTAGTTTGAAAAAGTTTTTAGCTTAGCTCTACCAACTTTCACACTTCCAGGACACTGGTGTGAGACCTTCACTGGCTGAGATCGAAAAAAAATATAACATTAAGTTATAGCTTACATAGTACTACAGTTAAAATCACTGCAATGTGTTAAAAAGCTATAAGCTCATAATTTTGCAGTATAAAGCTCAAAAAATTGTTATAGTATCTTCATAAAGTAAACAAATACAAATGACTGCTGTGGAAGCCGTAACAAATTTTATACTTGCCTTTGGCTTTTAAGCCGTAGTTATATAATTGAGCTCATAAGCATGCAAAATATAAGTGAAACAAAATAAATAATAATTGTGGTAAAGGCAGCTTTAATGGCAAAAGCGAAATCTTAAAACTACTAGCGTACTTAACTAAACTACTAGCGTAACTTAAAACTACTACTACTCTTAAAACTACTAAGCGTAAACACGAAGATTTGTTTCAGTGCGGAAAAGGTAATTTTGAACATGGGTCGAAAAATTTTCGCCGACAAATGTTGTAAGACTAAACACTGTACAACTCATCTGCTTCCTTTTCTCCAAAATTATAACTATTCATTTCTTTTTGTATGTCAATGTAATAAGTAGATTTATATCAGAGCAAATCTTGAACTCCTGTCTATTCATGATCTTGAGTACATTTTAGAATTTTTGAGCATTATTCTTGTGAAAAATAAAATCTTGTGGTTTATTTTATGTTTAGTAATTTTTGATCCAAATAGAGTTATATGAAATTTCTAAGAAGTATATTGAAGTATCAAATTAAATTAAATATCAATAGTAGTTGAAACCATTGTTGCAGCTTTATTTTACTCTAATTGCTTTTTCTTGCAGATCAACCTTTTACCAATCCTTTGTTCGATTAGCTATTTTTCAAAGTAGTATTTCCTTGATTTTTCCCCCCTTTTATCTCTATATACTGTTTCAAATTTTAATATAATTTTTCTTTTATTTAATAAGATTTTCCTGCAATTGTTCATATTACTCCTCAGTGTTGTGGTTTCGCTTTATCCCTTTATTTGGATAAAAAATCAATATCACTTACTTTATTTATTGTATTGTGGTAAAAAGTAATTAAATTTGATGTTAGATAAACTATTTATTTTTTTAGGAAGATCTTACAATTTATTAAAAAAAAGTTTCTGTACTACAAGTGTGGATTCAGAATGCTACTAATAAACGGAAAAAAATAAGTTTTTGATCTCTTGTTAAGTAGATTTCCATGTTGTAATCTGTTGCAGAATAATCCTCAAGTCTTAGTAACTTCGAGCAGTGGCCTGCGACCAACTTATAAAAACATCACAGAAAGGGATTAACTCGTAGCGATCCCTTAACAAATATCTGCATGTTTTTAGTTTCATTGTTTAAATTGCTAGTTTCAAATCTATTAGTCACCTTGTCAATTGTAGTTGATGCGACAGATCACGATACAGAAATACCCACCTCTTGTTTTTATTGAAAAGGCTTTTCCTTTCATTCAAATGCAGTAAAGCAAATTTTAAGTATTGATATTTTTAATTAAATGTATATTGGGAAGAAAAGGGTAAGATCTGATAGTGGGGTTAGACCCGGTAGCTTGATTCCGTTGAAATTAGTTCCATTTTCTAATGAATAAACTCTGAGTAACACTTTACTAGTCAAGAAGAACAACTACCATTTTTTTGTATTGCAGTTGATTAATTCAAGTCGTCTTGGTAAATAAGTTTGTAAGTTTGTTTTATTTTGGACTTACATTATTAGAAACTATTAAAAAATTTAATTAGTCAATTATATTTTCTGGTTTTTCATTCCTCAAAATTATTTTTAATTTAGGAGTGTACTGAGTCATGCACAGTAAATTATAAATAAACATCTCTCAGAGGCATAAGTAAGCAATTGTTTTTTCATCTGTTGCTATAGGGAAAAAAGAAAGTTAAAATAATTTTGAAAGTTAAAATAGTTTCCTCAAAAAGATAAGGAAGAATCTGCCCTGACTAAGGATTTCAATGAAATCATTTCATTATTAATGTTATGAAAATATTAGAATTTTCTTCTTAGCTTAATCAAAAGCTTTCTTTTTATAATATTCATTTAATTTTTTGCACCAGAAATAGTGATAAATCAAATTAACTTGGAAGTGAAGTGAAGGTCCTATTAATTGGTTGTTGCTTAAGAAAAAAGTTACATGTTTTTTTTTTTTTTTTTCACTTAATTTTTGTTTGCTATATTGAGTAGTTCTGATAATAGTACGATAATAATAAAGAGCAATTATGATGCTACGGAAACAGAAATTTAAAAATAGGAACAGATTTTATTTTATTTTATTAAATAAAATCTGTTTTATTAATAAAATTTATAATATGTTTATAAAATAAAATAATAATACAATATAATAATAATAAAATAATAATACCTATTTATAAAACATATTATTATTTTATAAATAAAATAATAATAATATGTTTTATAAATAAGTTTTATTAAATGTTACTAAAAGGCCGGGATAGCCTGGTCGGTAGGGCACTGGGCCCATGTCCGAGATTTCGTGGATTCGAACCCCGCCGGCCGAAGACTCCCTGTGTATTAAAGTGACTGATGCACGTTAAAACGGTTGAGTAGTAAAAGTCCTCCATGTTCCCATAACAAATCAATACCTCTGGGAGGGGGGGTACTTTATTGGAGATCGATCGCTCTCTGATTCAGGTCAAAATTACAATCTGTGGATGAATGAATGGATGTATGAATGGGTCCGCCTTATAAACAAGTGTGACGTATGATGTGGCAAAGTCGAATTCTTGGCCATAGAGGGCGCCACCGAAAGACAAGAATCGCACACTCTGCCTTAAATTTGTTCGGTTTCACCAAGCAGGCTTGCCCGTGTGGCAAGTGGCATTAGAACCAACCAACTAAATGTTACTAAAAAATGATACATATTAAAAATATTATTTTTTTTTTAATTTAAATTTGTGATTTTTTTAAAAAAAGCAATCCAAATGATTTAATTATGATTTTAAAAGCAATTTAGATCAAGCTGATTCAAATTGGTTTATTGTAACACATTGTTCAAAAACTAATGTACATATTTTGTTTAATATAGGAGTGTTTCCTTATTTTGAGTTGCCCACCCGGTGTAGAAAAGACTGAAACAGTCAAAGCTTTATGTAAATCTCTTAATATTGAGTAATTTATTTGGTCAAATAAGCATCAGGAAAATGCTAAGCACAAATGATGGTAAAAAAAATTTCCCTTTACTTAGTTTTGCATTTAAAAACATTTAATTTGTATAAAATTGTTAAAATATTAGGTATACAATTTGTTCTGTGTTACTCATGTTTAATTTGCCTTCTTTATTTTTAAAAATCCAGTGTCAAAATAGATTTTAAAATAAAAAGATAAATGATAAAAAAATCATTATTTAAAAAGAAATAAGCTTAATTTGATTTAAAATTACCAATTGAAGTACAATTTATAAATATTTTTCAATAACAGTGACTAAATTAAAACCTCTGAATAATATGGTTAATGTTATTATACAATTATTAAAACAAATCCCTTAATAAATAAAGTTATAATTTTTATTCAAGCTGAACAATCCCATGAAGTGTTAAAGCATCGAAGCTATTTTTGAAATCGCTAGATATTTAAAATGGTAAACAAGTTTCATCGATATAAGAGTATAATAATCATTTCTAATTTTAAAAATAAAACTTATGGAATGGATAATTGCAGTAAATTTTTTTAAAGATATTAATCCACTCAAAATCCCTCATAACTCCCAGAAAACATTTTGTAACTTTTCTAAGATCATTAAGTTATTTTTCAGCAAAAAACTCTTACTTTTGTTTTAATCTGAAACGGGACATCAAGTGATTATTCATGAACTGACATCATCTTTGCTGTTCATTTACAATTGCTATGCTGTGATAGCGTCTTGCCTTAGTTTGAATTTTCGTAATAAAACTCAACTATTTTAGATGGTAAATGACCATGTGAGAACAAAGATCTATAAAATAAATTGCCCCCTTATGTAGCTTAATGAAATTGTGAGCTTAATATAATATATTTTAATAATATTTTTAAATTTCAGTGGTGTCCATTGAAACATTTGTTAATAGTCTGCAAGATTTTCTAGTTCTTAATAATTAATAATTTTAAGTTCAATAAATAGGTTGTTAAAATGAAATATGGATGCCTGATATTGCTTATTAAAAATCATATATAAAAATAATTTTTCACTGTACCGAAGTTGATATTAATTCAAAGAATTAAAATGTTGAGAAAAGATGTCACCATTACTGTCTCTTTAATTATTTAGCAAATAATTAAAAAAATGTCCATTAAAATTTCTTCTCAATTTTGCAAAAGTTTTTTTTTTTAATTCTTTAACTTAAGTGAAACAAAATCCTCTAGTTTAATGCTATACGCTGAAATTATGTGGCTAAATTAAATGACATTAAGTGAAAATTTAAGTATAAGCATGTGGAGATGATAATGAGGTGACATCATTAATATGTATATAATTCAAATGACTAGATTCATCAGAATGTTGATTCATTTTCTGCGATACTGAATGCTTAACCTCAGACTTTTTTTCCTATTTTAATTAATTATTTTTCTTTAGAAATGTAAAATTAATTCATTTTACTGTTTAATTACTCTTCCATTAGTGAATTCTTCTTTGCAAGTTCTGACAAATAACATGCATAAATAAGAAGGAAAAAAACAATAACTGTATTTTGTAAATACTGTATAGCAGAAAAAGGAATTATAAATTTAAAAATAATTTCTAACTGTAGCAAAATTCCTATTTACTCAAAGAATAATATTGAGAATAAATATGAGTCTTAATGTATATTTAATACATAGAAGGAAAAAAAAAGATGAAAAAATACACTACATTAGTAAACATTTACTTAAAGAAAATCCTTCAACTCTAGTTCATAAAAAAAGGCTTAAATATATTACATTACCTTTAATTTTTAAACATTAGTGCATAGATTGTACCGATGATGGATAGAAATATTTTAATGAACTAGATTTATGAAAACACTGATTTGTTTTCATGCAATACCGAATTATAAAATCATCCACCCTATCTAAATGTTTACTACTTCTATCCAATCTGCAACTGATTTTAATTAAGTAATTTAGCTGCAATGGAGCATTATTTTAATTAAAAAAAGTGAAATAAAATAATATTTTCTATGAATTTTAAGACCACAGATTTTAGAGAATAGGAGAAGTCGATTCTCTGTAAAGAGCTGAATAGCCATTTCTTCAGTTATTTTAGTGATAAACAAATACTTTGAAGTTTTAAAACCCTTCTTCCATTTTGCACACACTATCACCACCGTAAGTTTAATTCACAAAATCTTTACTAATAATATACAAAGAATGTTCGAACGATATAAGTGATATCAAAACTATAAGTGCATGGGAATAGCCTTAGCGGATGGAGGAAGCATGTTTTTATTTAGCTCATGTGACTTCATAACCAGTCAAGGATCGTTTTTTACTGCATCATTTATGGAGGCTTTTTTTTTGGCAATTAATAAGGTTTAATAATTAAACAAATAAGCGTTTGAGGAAAGAAAACAATTACATTTTTGGATTCTGGAGAGAATTTCCAATTAGTTAGGACTGAAAATATAAAAAAATTAAGAGATGCTGTAATTATCCATTATGTATTTATTCAAACTAGTATTCTTATATAAAAATTTGATATATTTGCCTGTATATGACTTGGTTAACATCTTTTATACCTTTAAAAAATTAAGTAGCATTTCTTTTCTACATTTTGTATAAATGTTAAATCTATTTTAAAATCTCTCTTCTAGGCATGTTCTGCTTTGGAGATCAGATAACCTCTAGGGAAACTCAAGCTCAGTCCTTATGTCTATTTCTCTTACAATCTTCAAAATATTTTTACATTCAAATGGTAAAAGAGTGATACTTATTGAGGTGAGACTTTTTTATTTCAATTATTTAATTATCAAACAATGACATTTAAAAGAGTGGGAACTGGGAATTTTTTTTAAAATTAAATTTCTGTATTAGTTATTTTTAAAAATGCTTTTTAATATCTCAGCCTTTTGTTGGGACTTTTTTTATTATAAGGAAATTAATTTTTCTATGGATTGCTGTCTTTTCTTTCAAGATGCTTCATAGTGATCTGGTGTACTTCTTAAAAAATTTATTTAGAGAATGATGAAGATAATTTAATTCATTTTCTGTTTTATGTAAAATGATAAAATATTGTTAAACGCAAATAAGAGTTAAATTTTTTAGTAAGTTAATTGCCCATTCAAAATATTTCCTTGAATATAGACTATTATTATTATTTTCAATTACCTCTTCTTTTTTTTTACTTCTTATAATAAAAATAGTAACTAAATGTTAATTGTTTTAAAATAAATCATTTTTTTTTCTTCGCACTTTTTGTCACTTTTTTTCCCCTTTAAAGCACAATTCTACGAAATGTATTACGTTGAAGCAAGGAACACAAATAATTGTTCGTGGGTGCAAGAACACGCATTTTTTTTTTCACCTTCAAGTTTGACTTAAAACTGTTTTAAACTTTACTTATCAGTGAGATTGTAATAATAATTTAAAAATTGAAGGTAAGGTGACCTCCCTTTTTCCTGAAGTTGCAATACACCATAAAAGATTATCATTAGTGTCCACTCGAATGGTACGGAAGTTTCTAAAATTGTAACGAAAAATTAAAAGAAAAAGTATGATTGAAAAATTTAAAGAATTCACCTATGACTGGTTGACCAAAAGTGGCTTATAGCGTTTTCAATTTAGCCCCTGAACTGTCTTAAATAAAATATACTAAGAAAATAAACATACCAGAAAAAATATTTTCCAGCTGTACTCATCATTTACTTATATATTTTATAATTTTTCTCACATTATTGGATTGCAGCAATTTTGTTTTCAAAGTCTTGTTTATTATGATAGAAATGATTTCAAAAGTTGAAAAACATATAAAAATAATTATAAGTGAGATCATCACATTCATCTCATACTGATTATTAATAATTTTCAATTTTTGATTAACAGTTTGAAGCAAATGAAAATTTTAATTTCCTGTTTTTTTTTCTTTTTTTCCTACTTTTGCACTCCTATGAATTTGTTATAATTGTTTCTTTATCTACAATTCAAAAAAGGTTTTTCATCCATAGTACTTGAAAATTTATTTCTTTTAAAGTAAATTTTTCTTATAAATGTTATCGATGGTCGCTTGTAACAAGCAGTTATATAAAACAGTTTATTGTGTAAGCATTTTTATATTGTTCTTACTCAAAAAAGTATCAAGTTTAATACTTTTCTTCTAATAAAAATACTTTGATCTCTTAATTAATTCATTTGTATTGAAAAACAAGTTCAATAATAAGTTTTAAGTAAGTTCAATTGTAAGAATATATTTTTTTAGAAATCTCATAACTTTGAATTTTGACATGCAAATTTTTTCCAGCATTCCTTCCTTTTTTTATTTTTATTTATTTTTAAATATAAAAATATTTCTGAACAGTTTTTTTTATAAGTTGATTTATTTAAAGTTGATATTTTTCTAGTTGATTTATTTAAAGCTTATGTAAAAAAGTGTTTGCTTGGAAACTATTGAGTTCCTAATTAAATCATGTTCATAGTTTAATAATATGTTTCAGTTAAATATTATTGTGCATTGTTAATTTTATTTATATATTTTTCTCTTTCAATTGTGCGCCAAATACTTTTTAATTTTTTTTTTCCTCCATCAGGAGTTTCCAAATGTGAATAAGAGATCCAATCCTGCTTCATTGCATTCTAAGGTATGTTTGTTTTTTATGCATTTGTTTTTACTTTATATTGAAAATTCATGAAAAAATAATTTTCTTTGGTATTTGATTTAGTTCTTCGAACAACTTTGTCTCCCCAACTCAGAATAATTTTGGCAATTTCTTTTCACTGCCAACTATTTTTGGCCCATTTTTACTGCTGCCACATTTGTTACATAACAAAAACTCTAACAAATATTGGAACCCTACTAAACTCAAAATTCACTTATTATTGGGATACTAGGTTGATATGTTTTAAATCACTTGATTTAAGTCATGTTTTAAATTAACTATATATATTTTTTATAATGAAAATCGCTGTTTTAAACAAAATGATTTTTTTAATAAGTTATTAAGTCAAAAATATTTTGTAATTATATTCTTTATGGTGTGATTTTTATTGATAATAAAGTTTTTATCCAAAAAATATAATGAAAGAGTAAACTATTATGTTTCTAAATGGATAAGTAAATATACTAACCTGGAGACTAATTTTTCATTTGCTGTATGTAAACTAATCAGCTTGGAATTTAACATGTTTCAATAATACCCATTTAATTTTATGTTTATTTAAATACTTTAAGTGTTCCGAAAACAAATTAAACATGTCATTAGCATTTAACAATATTGATGAAAGGCAGCACATAGAAATTTTCAATAATTTTTTTTCTTCTTTAATGTGTTCTGATTTAAACTGTTTTACTCTTCACTGGGTATCTAACTGTTCATTTGCCTCCCTGTAATTAAAATTTTAGATGTTTAGTTTGTAATGATGAAAAAAAAAATTTTTTTAATAGAATTTAGTCAGAAATATTAACAATTTTATTTATATTATTGAAATTATACTTTTAAGTTGTGATATAGTGTTAATGTATTTTACTAGATAATTTGGCTAGTATATATGAAAAAATTTGATTTATATAAAAAAATTTCAATTTAAATGAAAATTCGTTTTTAAAAAAATTTTGCCAGCTCCTTTGGGATTGTCATTAACATCAAGTACAGTAGAGAACCGATTATCCGGAACGATCGGGACCATCGCTATTCCGGATAACTGATTTTTCCGGTTTTCTGAATCGCTACAAAAAGCCGTTTTTTTATTGTTAAACACAACTAAAAAAAAATTTTTTTTGGAAATAATCTTAAAAAGAAGAAAAAACGATGGAGCAATACACTAATGATTATTTCCAAAATGATGGTAAGGTAAACATCTTTCAAAAAAGAACGAAAAATCCTAAAATTTTATAAGGAAAAAAAAAAATTTTTTTTTTATAATGGTGGGAAAATTTATCGAATTTCATTCCGGTTTTTTGGTTTTCCGGTTTTCTGATTTCCGGATAACGGGTTCTGTACTGTAATATGCATTTACTAAATAAAAAATACAGAAGATATCTATAAGATTTTTTTTCAACCCGGCAAACATTTTGTTACCACTCTGCCACAAGTTTTATAAAACTAAAGCATTGTATACAATTTAAAGAATGACTGCTCTGTATTAAATATTTTATCCAGGGTACATTTTAGTTACTCTTATGCCCATAATTTCATAAAAATGAAGAAATAAGAATCCCCTGAATATAAGTAAGTAAAAACTCAACTAAAAATATGGTATCGAGGCTATATTTTACCATAGCATTTCCATATTAATTTAATTAATAAACAATCATTCTTTTACAAAATAGTAACTCTTCACAACTACTTTACTAACTCAGGCTGACAAACAACACTCAACTACATTATTTAATATTAGAAACAACTTATATTCAAATTCTCTTTCTTTAATGTAATAATGCTAACAATAATACTTTCTCCAATCAAAAAACATTACTTAACACTCCATCTAAAAACTAAATTTTAATGATTAAATCTCTTCAGAACATGTTACAAGCAATGCAAAACACCAATAAAACCTTAATTGCATAAATAATATTCTTATTACTAATCTTATTATCTAGTTCTTATTACTATTTATGTAAATAATATTCTATTCCAGATATTATTTTGAATCTTATTCTAATTATCTATTAATCAAAAGTTTAATTGTTTCTTTAACATTGCTTTGAATATACTTTTATAAGTGGATAAATGAATGGATCCGCCTTATAAGCAGGTGTGATGCATGGGTGTGGCAGAAGTCGAATTCTTGGGCGTAGATGACCCACTGAAAAACAAGAACAATTGCAACACTGAGTGCCTTAATGGCACACAACAACAACAACATGGAATTTTTTAAAAAAAATTACAATGAGAACTAATAAAAAGTGAATGATTCATTTGTTTTACCAGCATTAAATTTTTTTAATGCTTATATGGGCCTTTAATTGCTCAAACTGTCAGTATTGTATCATGAAAATGATTTGTCATCTCCCACTGTTACATCTGATTTCCAATTGGTGCTAGTGTTGCCATTTTCCCACGTGATGTCATCTTTTATGCCATGCAATGCATTTGTTATGTGAGATTAGCTTAAGACAATGTATTATAGTCTAAATGAAAGCTTTTTCCCACTTAACAAGTACCCATTCTGATTTTTTGACTAACAAATTTTTGTGCCTTCGATTCTAAGCTGATGCCTAGAGTAGAATATATAGGTACTTAACTATAAAATCGACACTCAAAATGGTGACCTGTCCTGCATGGTCTAAATAAAGTTGCACTTCTGAACAAGAAGTAGCTGCATACTAAATATATAGAATTACAGCAAATATTTACTCATGAATGCAGAACTTAATTTGACAAAAATATTATTCTTCTATCTACTGCATGCTAAATTTTTAATTTAACTTCTAAGCATATGATATTATGCTGATTATAATATATTTCCGCTACATAACGTATGTTCAGAAAGCTCTTAAATCTGAGCAAAAATAAAGTCAGGAAGAATGCATGATTTATCTCCAAAATAAGTTATTTATTACTACACTTTTTAAAAAGATTAAGTAAAATTTTTAAACAAGAAAAATATGATTCATGAAAGAAATGTACTAATGTTATTAATGTATCGCACGCTGAAGACTTTGCATAAGACATAGCTGCCAACTGTTCAGAATTTTTCGGATTTGTTCCTAATTTTTAAATCTAATCTGAAAATCTGATATTTTTATAAAAAATCTGAATTTTCATAAAATGTTTGATTTTAAACCAATCCTTTTTTTCTGATCGGCACAAGCACGCATCCTGTGATTATTGTGCTAAAGTACTTTTTAGTAGCTTTTTATTGGAAAATACTATTCCAATAGCTGTTGCTGATTATTTCACTAAATTATTATTTTTTGAAAATTTTTCCTTGTAGTATTTAAACCAGAGTTGGCAAGGTTTAGGACAGAATGGATTAATCCACGGTTTAAACCGTCCTGTCGAAAACTGTCTTAAACTGTNAAATATACCAAAATGTTGCATATATATGAAAACATCTGATATTTTGGTTGTATTTGAAAATATGATTCTTGCTACTACTAAGCGCTTTCATGTTTTCCTTATTTTTAAACCAAATGTTTGAAAGAGCAAAAATTTTTAACACCTATATTTGATGTGATTTTCTTTGAAAAAATTTAACAAAAATGTCATATTATATTGGAATCAACAGTTCAATTCAGATTTTCTAACACACGTTAAAGTAACATTGTGTCTATGAAATCGATGTATTGGTCGCAGTAATGACTGTATTTAATAATTATTGCCTTAATTCATTTACTGGTGTTTTCTAATCTTGTGTTGTATTGTTTTAGGAGGTGTTAGATAAGACATCTATTTCTGCAGAATCTTTAATTTTTTTGAGAGAGAATTTATTCCCTTTATTGATAACATTGAAGATAACTTTGAATGTGCACTTTGGTTAAGTGATGCTGATTACGTGAGTGCTCTATGAATTGTATGAATAACTTTCTTTTTTAAAACTGCTAATAATGTAATTAAAAATTTTAAGAAATAGTGATCAAAGCTCTTTTTCTTATGTATCTTTCAGTTCACAAATTTTTGAGAGAGGGAACAATAACCCCCAAAATAATTCTCTTCTTAAAGCCAAACGCTCTGTTTTTATAGTTAAATTTGCTAAAATTTCAATCAAGTGCCCATTGGCTTTTCCAAACTTAATTCTACCAAATGTTACTCAATTAGAAAGTAATGCAAGAATTTCAATACCCAAAAGTTCTATGATCAAGGAGTTTTTTCAATGTTTTATTTTCATTGAAGAAACTATTTCGCAGAAACTTTCTTGTCAAATTTTTGTTTCTTAATCAATTTGTTTCCTGTTAAAAAAAATTTGCGACTGAAAGTCATGTGACATTTAATTTATTTGCAGTACTCCATTCCCTAATTTTAGAATCACTTGTTTCAGTTACAAAAAATTCTGTGCTATTTAATTTAGTTAAGGAAAATCTCTGAGCAGCATAATAAGGAGTTTTTGAAGTCATGTGTTCGTATGTCTGAGGATATGCATTACATTTTTCATCCTTTTTAAAAAATTTCAAATTGGTCATTTAATTTAATTGTTATTTTCTAAAGAAAAACTTATCTTGATCCTGAAAAATCATGTCATATCAAATCATATCACATTTAAAGCATAAAACTAATAACTTAAAAATTATAATTTCTTGCAGCCATGTACTCTTTTATCTGAAAACTAAATAATCTTTGCCTTTTTTTTTTAAAAAAAAATTCGAAATATTTAAAGAACAACTAATCTTAATATTTACTTTATTTATTCATTTCTTTTTTTGGGGTGGGGGGGGGGTTTCAATTAAACTCATTTATACAATTTTGAAAAATTAGCAGAAAATTTCTTTTTTCCATTTTCCGTATTTAAGATAACTATACGGTCTACCTTCAATATGAATTTTCTTGAAATAGTTTAATCAGAAAACTAAATCATTTATATTTATTTAAATGTAGAGAGATTTTTAACTTATCAAATAAAAAGATTTTTTTTGTTCTGATCACCCATCGGAATAACATTCATCATCATCATATCTGGCTAGACAGCCCAGGGTGGGCCAGTGCCTTCAATTCAATTCGAATCCACTTCTCTCTACTTTTGACACTTGTTCGCCAGTTTTTCTCCCCTTAGAGTAAGGAAATCAGTCTCAACTAAATCCAACCATCTCAGCCTGGGTCTCTCTTTTCTTGTTTGTTAGGGGTTTGCGTAATAGGATTTTCTTTAAATTTGAGTCATCATTCCTTCTGAAAATGTGAGCTGCCCAGTTCATTCGATTTATTTTTTTGTATTTCACAATATCTGGCTCTCTGTAGACTTTATACAGTTCAGTATTATGTTGTCTTCTCCAGGAATTATTTATTTTTATCGCACCAAGGATGGCCCTCAAAACCTTTCTCTCAAAAATGGCGATTTTATTTTCACCAGCTTGAGTTAGGTTCCAGGTCTCAAAGCCATAGATAAGTATTGGCCAAATTATCGGAACAACATTGCCTTAGTCAAATGTCAGCTGATAACAGAAAGAAACTCGTTTTATTTCTACCAATCTATCTTCTTTGTAATTTCTCTATATATTTAAAAATAACTCATCTGTTTACATAAGTTAATAATAACCAGAGTTAGTCTTATTCCTTCAATTTATGAATTATACAATGTGCTTTGCATTCACATTGTTTTCAAATTACAAGTGATGATTTTTATTCAGGCAAATATAAGAATTCATTGTGATTTATATTTACATTATCCACATTGCATTTCATTTTGACATGAATTACAAATAGAACACATCATGCTAGAGAATTTATGAATCAGTGATATAGCTGATTATAGAAAATGATAATAAAGATTAAAATTATTTTAAATGTAATTTTTTAGTTACGATGCTGTTGCTAAAAATGCTGCTATTGCCAACTGGCAGGGAGATTAAATTACAGAGTATGTCATCGAATTTGAATCAAGATAACTGATTTTTTGTTATAATCAGGTATTGTAAATATTTTTATTAACCTCAGTGTGAAAATAAAAGAATTCCTTTTTTTTAATGTTTTTTCTAGATTTAAAAAGGTAATTAGATTTAGTTTGTGATAGTTAGTTAAAATATACATATATATATCGTGCGATTTTTCTTACTTAGCAATAAAGTTTAATGCTCTCAGAGATTTGAGGGACCGAATATAAATTACGAAGGAAAACAAGTATTTTTAAACACCCTATGATAGATAATCAGGAAATAAGCTTGTAACTTGTATCAATTACTTTGATTGTTATTTCAAATAGCAGCACAAAATTACATAAACTTAGCTGAAATATTTCTGAAAATATGGACATTTTTATAAAAAATATATATTTTTGTTTTATGTTACTAACTTTAAAATTATTCGGTTAAATTAAGCAAAAGTTTTGGATCAATTTACAGTTACAAAGTTACAGTTTTAAAATTTGAAATAAATTTGTCAAAAACTGTGTAAGATATGAGTACATAAAGTTATTTTTTTATACTGTGAATGTGCAGAAAAAATTTAATTTTTTTTTTCATAATTTTATAGGGAATCGTATTTAGCAACTATAGAAAAGAGTATAATTTCAATATCTTAAAAATTTAGAAATTTTAAAGCAATTTTCTAAGTTATTTTTGTACTTTTTTAAAAGAAATCAGAGAAAGATTATGGGTTTTCACAAATTTTATTTTGTAATCTCTGCTGTTTTTGCCAGCATCACTTTTAATAAATCTTAATTCATATTACAAAATGAAACTTGTGGAAAAATCTTTATCGTTTTGAGCTTTCTTTTAAAAAGTACAAAAACTACTTTGAAAAATTGCTTGACACTTTTTGAATTTTTGAGATATTTAGATCAGAATATTTTCATTAGTTGCCAAATACAATTCACTACAAAATTATGAATTTTTTTTTCAAACATTTTTTGTGCATGCACAGTATAAAAGAACTACTTTAAATACTTATATACTAATTACTACTGAAATACTAATCTAATGCTGTTTTCATCACAATTTTTTAAAATTTTAAATCAATATTTTTGTAAATAGTTTGAAATTTCTCTAAAAATTTTGTTTAATTGTGTTGAATATTTTTAAAATTATAGCACAAAAAACATAGGACAAAGAAATAAGTTTTTTTTTTATCATCTCCATAAATATTTAGCATAATATAAATAGTAATAACCAAAATAATCAATACAAATTATAAGATTCTTAATTGATTTCTTGGCATAGGGTGTTCAAAAATACTTTTTTTTTTTGTAATTTATTGTTGGTATCTCAAATTTCTAAAAGCTTTAAATTTTATTGCTAAGTATGAAAAATTTAATGAACTAAAAACTACCGAAGTTACTAAGTATTTCTTGAGAAATTTTAAAAAATGTCAAAAACTGAAAGTGTCTCTTCCATTACTGTAGGATTGGTTTTACACACACGCTCGCACACACAGAGGGAGAGAGATATTTGTTTCTTTGTTTCAGAATTATGACACAATGAATGATTATATGGGGTCTTTGGCATCTAGAAGTCTGATGTTTAATTTATTCTCTGTGAATAATAGGAGGTGGAGAGCACTGCACAAAAATTTTACATCTGCTTTCATTTTTTTATTATTTTTTTTTTTTTACCTTACAGCAAAGGCAGTTGCAAAAATCTCTGAAGCATGCTTTTAGAGGTGAAACTTTATTTTGATAGTTACTTTGTTCCCCTTTTTTTTCAGGAAAGCAAAATTATAAACCCAAAGTGCTTCCAAAGGCTGTCCCTCTTAATAAAAATATCTTAACTTCATTGTACTTATGTGAGTGGTTGAAGGTTGATTGCCGTTTTGTATTATGAATTTTATTATTTTTGTTTTGATTATATTACAGTCAATGCTTCCCAACTTGAAAATATTCATTAAATTTTTGCAAAATAGTTTTTTTTTCATTGGAAAAACATTTCTAGTTTTATTTTTTCTACTACTGAAACAGATACTATGTCATAGTGCTTCAAATCAAAAAGGAACCAAAGCTCACTTCAAAAGCTACTAAATCTTCTGTGCATTATAGCTGGTATAAAATTTGTATGGGCATGAATAACATAATTTTTTTTCTTTAAGTTTCACTATGCTCAAAATCTTTTAAAATATCCTAACAGCTACTATATCTTGAAATTCTGAGAGAAAATATTTCTGGAGTTTTTCATAATAAAGAAGCATTGATCTTTATGGAAAGCTTTAACTTTTTTAGACTTGGGAATTTTATGCTAGATTCCTAGATCCAGCAAAAATATTCAAAATTTACATTTATATGTTTATGAAATGGGTATTTATGGTTATGAAATGTTAGTAACTTTTTAATTTTGATTTTATTAGACAACTTGGATTTTTTGTAGCTTATAAATTAAGTGTATTATATATTCTTTCCATGTTCTTCTCTTAATATGAGACACCTACAAGTTCACTTAGTTCCTTAGCTTTCAAAATTGCAATTAAAAGATTTAAATGCTGGTATTAACACTTTAATTTCTTTTTTTTTTTAGCTTTGTTGGCACTAACAAAGGAGTTAGGAATTATGAAAGTAAAAAAGTTTTTTAGGTAATTAATTATCATTTTATGTTCTAATTTTTTAATTTTGAAACCTTGCAGTGATACAATCTACTAATTAAGCTATATTAAGTCAATTATTCTTGGAACTAATTAAATTCTCTTCAATTTGGTTTTTATCGTTATTTATTTAGTTTCAAAACATATCAATTATATTTTTTTAACAAAATTGTGAAATATGTTTTGAAGAAATATGCATTAGTTATTTTGACTTGTCTTAAAGGTGAACACATGTGATTGCTATTACTTTGTACTTGCATACTTACTATCTTTCTTTTATTCTCTAATGTAGTATATTTGCTTGTTTCACCTTGTAAAATATCGTTTGTTTTGATGAATTTGTTTTTAATTACTTTTTTCTCTCAATTTGATGGACTAGTTATATCTGTCAATACACTCTCAAGAAAATGTTTTACAATTATTAAAAATGATATCTTCTGAAACACAGTTTTTCTATTTTGGGTTATAAAGGGTGCAAAAATTGTGAGCACCATTACAAAGGTTGGTTAGTCCCAATGTTTGATCCAGGAGTTGTCTTCTCTTCTGGGTTAGGTTAAAAATTTACAAGAAAATGTAGTTAAGCATTGATAGTTCTAAACCTGAAACTGGATTGACTGCTCAATGCCAGTTATAAAATAAAATATGATATAAAATGATATGATATAAAATAAAATATGTGTTGAGTTAATACTATCTTTATTGGGAGAAGAGGATTGTACCATTCTTTTATTCATTGCTGTACAAATCTTAGAATCCCTTTACACCAAATTTTTCAGCAACAGTTTCATTGGAGATCATGGCTTTTCTTTGATCTTGGCATTGAATATGAATGTCACCATATTTTTGAAATCCATACAATTTTGTAACCATTTTAACGAAAACAATGTAAATAAATTATGTTAAGTTACATTATTCAGAAGGTGTAGAAGTAATCATAGTAAAACATTGTTTGCACACATTTTTAAGAATTACTATAAAATAACATAAATTGATTATATGAGAAGACCTCATAAGTTAAAAAGTGATTAATCCATTTTGCTCAAGTAATGTTCTGCAATTTCTAAACAATTAAGTTTTCCTTGCAGAAATATGTTGTAATAAATATATATTTTAGGAAAATCTGTTTTATCTCTAAACTATTATTACTTTTTACAACAGGGTCCACACTTAATCAGTTTGTAGCAAAATAATAAATATCTCTTATTAATTTTCAGACTTAATCTGGAACAGAAGCAACTATGCAACTACTTCTAAATTATGCTGACAGGCTAACTACTTATGAGGTAGCATTAGTTTTCTTTTATTTCTACATTTATTCTTAAACTTTTTTCTCCTAATGTTTTGTCTCTTAATTTATGTATATCTAAAGAAGTAATGAGTTTCATAAATTTTTAAGTGTCATTTAATGTTTGATTAAAATAAAATTTTATTGTTTTCATTTAGCATTTTTTTCTCTCTGTGGTTTAAAGGCAATTAAACACGTGTTTACATTACTCAACAAATTATTTCTACTTTTGTATACTAATATTTATGCTCATGTTATAATATGTTATCATGTCTAGAGCCTAATGCGAGAATAATCAATGTCAATATTTTAAAATTAAGTAAACTAAGGATTTAAAATTCTTAAAAAAATCTTTTAACGAGCACTACGAAGTTGAATGATATAACTTTTCTTGTCTGACTTTTAAATTTGAATTGTTTTAATGTTCTTATCAATGAAATTTAGCCCTTTTCTACTGAAAGACATTACACTTTGTCAAAATTTAATATTGATATATACTTTTGGGTGTAATTGTTAATTCAGTGTTATTGTTAGTTATATGACTGCTATGAAAATAGCGTAAGAAGTAATTGAAAAGAATTTGTACTCTTCACTAGCCAGTCTCTTGTAGGATTTAGCTATATTTACAGTAGCTGAATTATGTACATATATTCCTTTTGAGAATCATGGAATCAAGTTAAATTTTTTTTATTTTCTGCAGAAATGTAAATGACTAAAAAAGTTTAACCAAATTTTGCATTAAATATTCCTCTATTTTTTGTTTTACTGGTCTCTTTCATTTTGAGACTCTAAGCATCAATATTCCAATCAAAGCCAAACATATTTTTTCCTACTTTACTTTGATAAATAATGTACAAACAATTAATTTCTTGAGAGAGTTTAAGAAAATGCAAAATTAACTCTCTGAAATAAAATAAAGCTCAAGTACAGAGCACAAAAAGTACTCACCTTGAATATCTTATTATACAAAGGTACCATATTTCATAGAGAAAGGTTTAATCTGGGTATGTAACCTTTTGGTGTTTGTAATTTAAAATATTTTCAGCACTTATTGTTTAGCATATCTAAAGTATACCCCTTAAGATAGCCACACTGACTCAGGGGATAGAGCGCTGGCCTCCCAATGAGGTGAACCAGGTTTGAATCCCGGTAATGACTGGTCAATGCAAATTCTGCACCCTGCTCACTCCGACCACAGTGCTGATGTGAAATATCCTCAGTGATAGATTGATCATGGGTTATACTCCCTTTACTCTCAGGCTAACAGTGGGAGATTTTGTAGTTTTTCTCTTCATGTAATGCAAATTCGGGTTAATACCATCAAAAAAAGTCCTCCAGGCAAATCTCTCCCATTACTTGATCCAGGAGTTCCCTTGTCTTCTGGATTGGGATCAAAATTACAAGGCTACGGAGTTGAACATTGGTAATTATAAAACCAAAATTGGGTCCGCTGTTCAATGCGGTTATAATGCAATATAAAATATTCACTATGTTCTCAATCGATGTCATCTCTCATTCAAATTTTTTCATGAATCAAAATTTAATAACTATTAAGCCAATAACATTTAATCTTTGGTTAAGAGTTAGGGCTTACTTCTAAATTAACGATTGCCACAGGGTGGCTAACTATTACAAATAGTGATTAAAAACTTGTTTGCCAGTAGCCACCTTTTATTAAAAATGTGAAACATGTGCACTTTATTATTGTTTTTTTTTTTTATAAATATGGAATTGATATGAATATTTCATAACACTTAGGAAATTATTTTATTTCACACTTGTTTTTTAAAAATTTTATTATTTTACAATTGTAATATTTACCATATTTTGAGAGATGCTTTAAAAGAAATGCCTGATATTATTATTTATTGACAATTTCTAACCATTTAAAATGTTCGATTTTTGAAAAAGTTCTACTGTTAACAATGCTGCAACTGGCTGTTGCCAAAGTTTCCTAATTTTACCCTAGACCATCTAACAACTCCTGAATATTTTATGCGCATGGGCCTCAAGAATTAAAAATTATATTGCCCTGCATATCCTAGGTTTGATAAAATTTTAATTTTGAAAAAAAATTTCATTTAGGTAGAAAATATATGTCTAGGAATGTAAATATTTTAGACTAGATAGTTCAGTAAGAATACCATAAACCTAGGATTTACCTGACCGAGGAATACCACCTAGGATTCAATCAGGATACAATAAAATATCAATTAAGGGTGCTTCAAATTTTTAGCTAAAATTTGCAAGATGCTGCTGTGGGGATGTTTATTATATTTTAATTAATGAATGTGAACATTGTCAAGCTTTTAACTTGGTTTAGGTTTTTTTTTCTCTAGATAATCCTAGGTGATGCTGTTGCAGCACAACAGCATTTTGATCCCAAGTTTTTCAAACAATTCCGATCCCAATGTGGCCTGGAAGCGACCATTCAGTTTTCTTTTCGGTTCTCTTTAATTTGAAAGCGGTAGTAACGCCCTTCACTTATATGGGAGCAGAAGCACCGCCTGGAAATACTCAGTTATTTTCCTGAGACCACTTCACCTTCCGAGTCTCTGTTACCTCTTTACAAGTAAATTCCTATTGTGGATCCCTCATAAATTTATAGATTAAATGTTTGTTAATAGTGTGGTATGTAGGGTGTGCAATATAAAGAAGCAAGTACCTTAATAATATTTGATCTGAAGGTTGGTTCTAAGGGGCTATCTTAATCAAATCATTAAGATAATCTCTACAAGGCTATCTAATTAAGATAGCATCTTAGTAAATAAAGATCCAATCATTAAGTCAAAAAATTATTGAAGTGTTTGCTTTCTTAATATTGTTACTTTAGGAATGAAGCTGCAAATATTGGTCTAAGTTCTTTTTAAAAAAGTAAAAATTACAAGTGAGTTCCTATTGTGAATCCTTCATAAATTTATAGATTGAATGTTTATTAATTTGTTTGTTAATAGTGTGTTATATACAATGTGCAAAATAAAGAAGAGAGCACCTTTATAATTTTTCATGCACTAAGAAGTTATCTTAATAATTCTATTAATTTAGCATCTTAGCACATGAAGATAAAATCGTTATGCCAAAAGGTATAGAAGTGCTCATTTTTTTATTTTGCACACTATACTGTTGCTTTTTGT